TCATGCCCCTAAACTCAAACAAATGACAACTACATATTCCAACACAAGTAATTGGGTCAAAGTCAATATGGAAGTTCACAATCTTCCTAAATCCATTAATATCCATATGCTCTTGCACGGTATATTTTCTACCGTCTTCACATAAAATGATATCACAATAAAGCTTTCCTTCAAGTAATTCCCTTTGAAACTCCGCGAACTTAGAAATGGTGTAAATTTGTTGCACTTGTTTTTCCATTGGATATCTAGTCACACATGGAATCATTTTGGTAAATGAGCTAGTATCCGCTTGAAATTCTTTTTCCACCTTATCACGCAAAGCACATCCGTATTGTTCAACAAATTGTTTTAGAGTGGTTTTGGAATTGACAAACTTATCGAAAAATGCGTTGATGCTCTCACTTCGTTGAGTTGTGGACATGCCGGCCCAAAATGTTGGCTTTAAATAACATGGTACCCACCGCTTTCTTTCATTGTACATCACACGAAGCCAATCATGCTCTTGAAGTGCAAACCTGAACACATTTAAAGCGCACAAAGTAAGTTTGTAAAAAAAATCACAAAGAACTTATTCTCTGCCCACAAACACATTGTGTCTGTGACGTACAAACTTTATCGTCTATGACAGATAGACCTGTCTATGAGGCAGAGAAATAGTTACTGGCAGAAGAAGATAAAAAATTACAAATTCATACCTTTGAACCATGTCAAGCCATTTCTCCTCAAACTCTTGGGTGTATTGTGAATCATAAATGCAGTCATGTATAACATCCAATATTTCATCTTTATGTGCATCCCCTCCGAGTTTTTCGGGTACCTTTTTCATTATGTGCCATAAACACCATCGGTGGTTGGAATTTGGGAATACAATTGCAATGGCGTTTTGCATAGCACGGTCTTGGTCGGTAATAATCCCCATTGGAGCAATTCCATCCATACATTCAAGCCATGCTTTAAACAACCACACAAAGGTTTGTGTATCTTCGTTAGAGACTAATCCACATCCCATTAGCAATGATTGCCCGTGATGATTTACCCCGACAAATGGTGCAAAAGGCATGTCATACCTATTCGTAAGATAGGTTGTGTCAAATGTTATGACATCTCCAAATTCTTTGTACGCATATCTAGACCTATTATCGGCCCAAAATACATTACGCAATCTTGACTCCTCATCTAAGTCAATTACAAAGAAAAATCCGGGACATTGGTCTTGCATTTTAGCAAAGAAACCTTGAATGGCAATTGCATCGCCACTACCTAGCCTAAGTTGTCTCACTTTATCTATATAGTTCCTACAATCTTTTTCAATGAAGGGAAGTTGATCATATCCGCCGGCTTCAACAACGGCCGCGGTGAAGCTTTTATTAAGTCGTATTCCCGCAACTTCATTTATTGCAAGTTTCCTCGCCATTCCATGCGTCATCCTCCTATGGCACCGAAATAGTCTAGCCTTTGTTGGACTCATAGGATGTGAATGTTGTAGAAACACTTTTGAAATTTGCCAAAGTCCCGAATAAATTACGTGCGCACGTAGTCTAGCTCCACACCCTATTTGCATTGAAGGTTGGGGCTTCAATTGATTTTTTGACTGACTACCTCTATGACCAGCCCGCGAACACTCCAGTACAACTGACACAATCTCTCTTCCTCTTTTGTCTTTTGTTGTGCTCCTAGTTCTTATAGGAAATCCCAAACGCTTCCCATATGCTTTGTAAAATTCATAGATCGCTTCTCTGCTTTCAAACTCCATACCAACTTCTGGCTCTGTACCAAGTTCACTCTCCTTTACCAACCCTTCTCCATCTGTTATGGTAAATTGCTCATTTATTGATGCATTTCAACACACTTAAACTTACACACAGACAGTCATATATGCACACACAGACAATTCCAAACTTTAACATACCCGTTGAATACTACACAAGCAAATCAGTCTTCCACTGATTTCATACAAAAACAAACACACACATAAACAAGTGACACCTTCTACAACTTGCATGTGTCACCGAACGTTTGCATGTGTTTAAAACAATTTAGTACACACAGACAGTGATATTTGCACAGACACAGACAATTCTAAAGCTTCATAGACACTTTGAATACTACTAAGGGGTAAGCACAGACAATTTTAAACTTTCACATGATGTATAATTTTTGAAGAAACATATGCATCAGTTGAAACTAACTTAGGGGTACACAGACACATTGTGTATCCACCACTATTTACGTACACAAACAATTATACACATAAACACATAAGAACATGCCTGTGAGAAGAAAGCTGTTATAATCTTCATTAAACTACTAAAAACATGAGATGAAGTCCTACCAAGGTCAGAAACAACGTCCATGGCCGCCGGCGACGTCTGTCCTTCATCCTCTCCGCCTAGGTCCGTCTCAACGTCACCTTCTCCACGTCCGGCTTTCTGTCCATCAACTTCTCCACCTCCGGCTTTCTGCCCAGACCCATCCCCGCCTCCGCAAGTCATGTCGTCACCGTCGAGTTCTCCAGGTCCGTCGGCGTATCCTGCTTCTCCACCTCCGGGAACAGCATTCAACAAGCCCCAAAACTCAGGGTCGTTTCTCACCATGCTCTCGTCCATGTAAAAATCCATGGTGGAGGAAGTAAAATCAGAAATTATCTTTGCTTGTGCTTATGATCGTCGAAGGAAGAAGAGAGGAGGGGCGGGTGTTTTGATTTTCAAGAAACGGGGGGAGTGAGGGAGTTATGCGAGTGAGGTGAGGGGAAAAGGGGAGGAGGGAAAAGTGGGGGTAATTTTTTTGGGGGCTTTTATAGTGTGTATAGGGTGGGTGCAATTGTGTGTACAAAGAGCATTATTGATTCAATTATAGACTGATTTCTATGAAAAGATATTTTATTGTATGGTACATCAAACGAGCATGAATCGTAAGATTCTATTGTCGAGATCTTTATAAATGATCCTATAGCTAGCTATTCCATTATTTTTCTTATTTTATTATCCTTTTTGCACTGTCAACTCAATATATTAACTAGATAACAAAAACAGTTGGGTGGATCATATATTGCCACGTTGACTAAAATTGTTGTGCTAAAACTAAAGAACATCTATTAATAATTAAGATAAGCATTTGATCAAACTACTATATTATCTCTAATCTGTTGATTTCCCTCTCCCAGAGCAAATATTCATTTTCCCCCTTACTTTTGTTTATAATTCCGACCATACAATTTACATCCTTGCACTTAACTCATATATTGAGATACTCATGGATAGGCTTGGACCCGGTTCGGGAATCAGCTACCGGTTCTGGGTCAAAGCCCGGTTTGGGGTGGGTATTCGGGTCGGGTACGGGCTTAGGTAAATGAGAACCAGACCGGCCGGTTCCGGGCCCAGTTCGGGCCTTTCAACTTTCTTTTTTGTTTTTGTTGGTTTGGGGCTTTGGGCTGGGTTTAAATAGACTGGAATGGGTCTTTCAGATGGGTTTATGGGATGGAGTGGGGGTAGGGAATAAAAATAATCAAGCAAACAAAAAAATAGAACCGGACCCGACCCGGCCCGGCACCGGTCAACTACCGAGCCGGTCCCAGTTCTCACAAAAATTTTTTTGGGCCCGGCTGGGCCTAGCCCTAGGCCCGACCCAGAACCGGGCCCGGTTCGGTCCATGACTACTCATGGATGAAGTGTTATTCTTTTTAGTTTATACGGAGTAATTCTTTTTAATAAATCACAAGTTTATGTGAACACTACACGACTATTTGACGGTGTTCATAAATTTGGTTTGATCGGTTTTCGATTACATTCAGTGTGTTCATAATTTAAGTGAATTTTTTCAACCTTATCTCTGATTTGGTATACACATTGTATGTGCATTTTATTAGTGTCTAAGTTAAACCCGATTTACTTAACATCGGTTTGATTTATTTATGTTTGATACCATTAAAATCATCTTTAGTTGGGTTCGGCCCGTTTCACTTTGACTAATTCTTGCCATGCTTGGCACTATAGACTTTCAACGATGCAATATTTTTCAAATTTGTCACCAATTATTCTTATTTAGGGAATAAAAGGATGACAATGTACAATTATTCTTTTTAGTTTATAATTCTTTTTAATAAATCACAAAATTTATGTGGACACTACACGACTATTTGACGGTGTTCGTAAATTTGGTTTGATCGGTTTTCAATTACATTCAGTGTGTTGGTAATTTAAGTGAATTTTTTGAACCTGATCTCTGATTTGGTATACACATATTGAGCCTGTTTGGTAACACTGCTTTTTGGCTTATCAGGCTTATCAGCCAGCTTTTTCACCAAACACGTAACTTTTGCTTTCGCGCGCTGAATTGTGTAATAAGCAGAAAAAGTAAGGTTGAAGTTACTTTTCTGGCTGTATTGGCTGAAGTTACTGTAGATGACTATTTTAGCTATTTTTACATATAATTTTTACTTTATTTTATTAATAAAATATATTTTTAAAATATTTTTTTCTCAAATCAGCAGAATCAGCCAATGTAGCCACTTCAGCCAGAACTTCATAAATTTCAGCAGAATCAGCCAAAACAGCCAATTTTCGTGCTACCAAACGGGCTCATTGTATGTGCATTTTACTAGTGTCTAAGTTAAACCCCATTTACTTAACACCAGTTTGATTTATTTATGTTCGATGCCATTGAAATCATCTTAGTTGGGTTCGGCCCGTTTCACTTTAAGACTAATTATTGCCATGTTTGGCACTACAGACTTTCAGCATTGCAGTATTTTTCAATTTTATCATCAATTATTCTTATTTAGGGAATAAAAAGATGATAATCTATAATTATTAAACATTTTCAGGTCTATTTCGGGAATATTTGTGATTTGGACGGTGGTCTAAATAAGTTTTGCATTATTGTATATTTGTATATCATCTTAATTAGGTTTCCTGAACTGAAGGCGACAGCGAAAGTTCCATAGTTATTTTTAAATATCAAAAAATGCTCCGTGTATTTAAAATTAATTAATTTTCTGAACAAAAGAAACTAACATGTGTAGGTCTTTAGGAAGAATACAAATGTCAAATGAAGCAAGAGATGAAAGGGAGAAAGAAAAGAAAACACAGAGAAAACATAGTACCAGATAAACTATAGAGAGAAAGAAATTATTTATTTATTGAAGGAGGCGAATCTCCACGATCCTTTCCTGCTCGCCATACAATCCACACTACCTCTTCTGAATTCTCCTCATTCAAATGATCCATTTCGGAAGCTACTGATCGATTCCACAACTGCGGCGGAGTATGTCGGCGGAGCGTTTGAAGCAGATCGAGATTCGTAGCTCCGGAGCTATGGCGTCCCAACCTTCAGGCTCGACGAGCAGCGGCAGCAATCGAGACGACTCGATGAACAAAGCGGTAGCTCAGTACCCGGTGGACGCTAGGCTGCACGCGGCGTTTGAGCAGTCAGGTGAGTCATTTGATTACTATTCATCCGTAAAGACCGCAAACGATGTAGTCCTGCCGGATGAGGAGATCGTCGCCTATCTCTCGAATATTCAGAGGGGCGGTTATATACAGTCGTTTGGATGTGTGATTGCGGTGGAGGATGAGGCGGGGTATGGAGTCATCGCTTACAGCGAGAATGCACGCCAGCTGCTCGGTAAAATGCCCCACAATCTTGAGCAGCTCGAGTTTTGGACAGATGTGAGGACCCTGTTCGCACCTTCCAGCTCTGCTCTTCTCCAGCGCGCGTTTAGAGAGCCGGATATCACGTTGCTTAACCCAATCTGGGTGCAGACCAAGAAATCCGGTAAGCATTTTTACGCTATCTTACATAAGATTGATGTCGGAATTGTGATTGACCTGGAGCCTGCTAGTGGTGAGGACCCTGTACTATCTCTAGCCGGGGCGGTTCAGTCACAGAAGCTCGCCGTGATGGCCATTTCACGCTTCCAATCTCTTCCTGGTGGGGATGTTCAGCTTCTTTGTGATACAGTGGTTGAGTCAGTGAGGGAGATGACCGGGTATGACCGTGTTATGGTTTATAAGTTTCATGATGATCATCATGGGGAGGTCGTCTCTGAGAGCAAGAGACAAGATTTAGAGCCTTACCTTGGTGTCCACTACCCAGCCTCCGATATCCCCCAAGCCTCCAGATTTCTGTTCAAACAAAACCGGGTAAGGATGATAGTCGACTGCCATTCCCCTCCGGTCCGCATCATCCAAGACAAATCTCTATCTCAGCCATTGAGTCTTGTTGGTTCAACCCTCCGAGCCCCACATGGCTGCCACGCCCAGTACATGGCCAATATGGGGTCCATGGCGTCCTTAACACTCGCAATTATCATAAACGGGAGCGATGAGGAAGCTGTGGCAGGGAATAATTCGATGAGGCTATGGGGATTGGTTGTGGGCCACCACACTACCCCTAAATGCATCCCCTTCCCGCTTCGTTACTCCTGTGAATTCCTCATGAAGGCATTTGGACTCCAACTGAAAATGGAACTTCAATTGGCATCACAGTTGGCTGAAAAACGTGTGTTAAAGACACAAACACTCTTGTGTGACATGCTCCTTAGGGGCTCGGCCGTGGAAATCGTCACAAAAAGTCCAAGTATTAAGGACCTTGTCAAATGTGATGGCGCTGCACTATATTACCATGGGAATTACTACCCTTTAGGCATAACGCCTACCAAAGACCAAATAAAGGATATATGCAAGTGGTTGTTGACTTCACATGGTGACTCGACCGGTTTGAGCACTGATAGCTTAGATGATGCTGGGTATCCTAATGCAGCCTCACTGGGGGATGAGGTATGTGGGATGGCTGCTGCTTATATAACATCAAGAGATTTCTTGTTCTGGTTTCGGTCGCGAACTTTGAAACAGATCAAATGGGGTGGTGCTAGGCATTATCCACAAGATAAAGACGATGGACAAAGAATGCACCCACGGTCTTCATTCAAGGTGTTTCTTGATGTGGTTAAGAGGCGTAGTTTGCCGTGGGACAATGCAGAAATGGATGCAATTCACTCTCTGCAGCTTATCCTACGGGGTGATTCTTTTAAGGATAATGTCTCCAGAAACAATAATTCTAAGGAGGCGGTGGTCGTGGATGGACAGCAAGGAGGAATAGATGAGCTTAGCTATGTGGCTAGAGAGATGGTTAGATTAATAGAAACCGCAACAGCTCCAATTTTCTCTGTGGATGCTGAAGGGTTCATAAATGGTTGGAATGCAAAGGTTGCCGAGTTGGTTGGGTTGACAGTTGAGGAAGCATTGGGGAAGTCATTAATTCGTGATATTGTTCATATGGAATCACAAGAAAGTGCTGAGAAACTTTTGTTTAAGGCATTGAAAGGTTACTATCTTTAGTTTTATTTATTTATTATTTATTAATTCATAAGTATAGTGCGGATAGATATCTAGATTAACTGATTAACACATCCTGGATAGGACCAAACTTCGTGATAACAGCGATGCTAAATGACCGGAATCCAGCCAAGAATTTTTGCTAGCATGTCTTTCTTGCATTGCCGACCCCAAAAGCTTTTGGGAATAAAGCTTGAATGTTGTTGTTGTATGTCTTTCTTGTGTTACAGATTAAATATCACTTTTACACAATTTAACTATCTAGCCACATGTAGCAAAATCATTAACTTTAGAATGTTTTTTTTTTTGAAAGAATCCTTAAAATGTACTCCCTCCGTCCCAAAATTAACTTCTCACTTTCCTTTTCGGGCAGTCCCGAAATTAACTTCACACATCAAAACTTTCCTTATTTGGCAAATAATCTACATCAACAAAGTGTCAAACAGTGCCAAACAGTGTCCAAACAATGTCAAACAGTGTTTAAACAGTGCAAAACAGTGCACTCCATAGTAAAGTCAAATTTATTTTCTTAATCTGTGTGAAGTCAAACTGTGAACTTAATTACGGGACGGAGGGAGTATATAAGTATCCCAAATACACATCATGCTTGTGCTTTTGCTAACATTTAGTGATACTGAAGCATGTGAAGTCTTATCATGAGTGTTCGTAGAGATGTAGATACACTTGGACTATTCCTAAAAGTGAAAATCTGCACAGGTGATGAAGACAAGAACATAGAGATGAAGTTGAAAACATTTCACACTGACCTAAACATGGAGGCGGTTTTTCTTGAGGTCAATGCTTGCTGTAGCAAGGACTACACAAACAAAATAGTTGGTGTCTGTTTTGTTGGTCAAGATGTGACCGGGCAGAAAATACTAACCGACAAATTTGTACGCATACAAAGTGATTATAAAGCAATCGTGCATAGCCCCAATCCTCTGATCCCTCCCATTTTCGCTTCAGATGAAAACACATGTTGCTCCGAATGGAACACAGCCATGGAAAAGCTTACGGGTTGGAGCAAAGGGGAGATGGTGGGTAAAATGTTGGTTGGTGAGCTTTTTGGAAGAGTATGTAGACTCAAGGGTCCGGATGCTATGATGAAGTTCATGATTGTGTTGCATAATGCCATTGGTGGGAAAGACACAGAAAAGTCACCATTTTCCTTTTATGACAGAAATGGAAGATACGTCCGAACTCTCTTGACAGCAAATAAGAGAGTGAGTATGGATGGACGGATTATCGGAGCGTTCTGTTTGTTGCAGATCTCTTCTTCTTCTGAAGAGAAGGAAGAAGATATCATACTCCAGAGGCATAATGAAGAATGTAATGACAGATCATTCTCTAAGAAAAAAGAGATGGCGTATATCTGTCAAGAAATTAAAAACCCGCTCAATGGTATACGCTTCACAAATTCCTTACTGAAGTCTACAAATTTGACCGAATATCAAAAGCAGTTCCTGGAGACTAGTGCTGCTTGCGAGAAGCAGCTGTTAAAGATTGTTAGGGATTATATTGTTGTTCCCGAAAACATTGAAGATGGGTAAATTTCTGTTATTGATTTGCTAGCTAGTAAGTCTGTTTAAAATAAAGAAACTTTTTCAGATGTGATCTGACTTCTATGTTTTTTACTTAAATTTAGTATTCTGCTTTTATAACACAGTTCACTGGAGCTAGAGAGAGAAGAGTTTTGTATTGGGAGTGTTATAGATGCTGTTGTGAGCCAAGTAATGCTGTTGATGAGAGAAAGAGGTCTGAAACTCATTCACGAAATTCCTGAAAGCATCAAGACAATGGTAGTGTTTGGTGATCAATCTAGAATTCAACAAGTTCTGGCTGATGTTTTGCTTAACATGGTTCATCATACACCACCTCCAAAAGGGTGGATACAAATCAATGTGCAAACTAGTTTGAAGCAGATATCTGGTGGAATTACTACGGTGCATGTCGAATTCAGGTACATTTTGGTTCTAACGTCATCCATCACTGTTCTTTTTTAAGTTTAGCTTTCATGTTTTTGTGATTGAATTGTCTTCTCCCTTTGTTTAAAAAGTCATGTTTTAACTCGGTGAAGTAACATCATTACCACATTGGGATTCTCAAGTAAAAAGGATAGTGATTTTGTTCATTTTCTTTGGCAATATAAGATTACTTGAGAAAGTATGATGTTCCAAGTTTAATCTTGATGGTTTGATGACATGGTGACACAAGCAATATCACATTCCATGAACCAAACAGATTAATGCAATATTGCAATCTCATCTGTATGTCATGTTAAATTCCCTTGCAGGAAGTAGTCATATACTCGTATCTAATGTCACTGACCTCTTGAATTTGAGAAATGCATGTATTGCAAATGTTAGTATTTGGTTATTAGATGCTAGTGGGCTACTTGTTTTCTCCTTCATTTAACTAGTCCTCTCTGGTTTTATTCTTCTTGAAAAAGGCTTGCCTGTCCAGGTAAAGGTCTTCCTGCAGAATTGGTCCGAGAGATGTTCCATAGCAGTCATTGTGCAACTTCGGAAGGTTTAGGATTGAGTATATGCAGGAAAATACTGAAGCTAATGAATGGAGAAATCCAATATGTAACAAGATCAGAGAAGTGTTATTTCATCATCACCATTGAGCTGCCTACATCCAAAGAAGGCGCAAGGACAATTTTTTAGGTCAGCACTAATATTTCCCTAAGCTATCTGTGATGATCTCTGGCTTCAGTTTGCATGATGTCGTGAAAGTCCCAAACTGAAATTGATCCGAGTATAATAACCTCTACTGAATGGTGGAATGACTATTTGTAACTGTAGATTAAATTTTCTCAGCACTTTAGTTTTTTATTTATTTCTTTTTTTGATGTTATACTGAACTTGTACAGTGTATCCTTTCATCTGCAATTTGTGAAAGCAGATGCATAGATAACATGTGCATAATTTGTTTCCACCTAGAATCCAATTCTTTCTCTCGGGCTTTAGACAGTCTACGCTTTGGCCAAAACAAAGCATGTATGATACGGAGTACTTTCTTAAGGTGAAACACGCCCTACATACAATAATAATAATAATTATAATAATAATAATAATAATAATAACAACAAAAAATTGAATGATGATGATGAAGATGATGACAACGACGACTATAACAATATAAGGTTATTGGATTTTGGTTTGCGCCATATTTCTGAAATCATTGAATCCTAACACTTTGAAACTCACAAATAGGATGTGAACTCCAATTTCCTCTAATAATAACCATGATGAAATAATAATAGTTATAAATTGTAATACTTTGGAAGGAAAGTAAAGTGGCCCTTTTGCAAATTTGATACGGAGTACTATACAAGTATTGTTTTCAACTTTTAAAGGTATTTCTTTTTTAGGGATATAGTATGCATGTGGGAACAGATATATTCTTATTCTATTTTTCAGAATAAAAATACCCTTGAAGTATATGTCGAAGTGTATATATACCCCTGAACTTTTTATAAGTTCAAAAATACCGCTCATGATCTTATAAACGAGCAAATTTACCCTTATTGATTTTAAATAGATAAAATAAAAAAACAAATATACACTATAAATTCGAAATTTAAAAATAAAGATTTGTTATTATGTAAAAATATTAACTCTTTAATTTCAAAGTAAATAAATATTATTTTTCCGTTATAAATGAATCACTTCAAATTCATTAATTATAATTTTAGTCATGTTGTGAAATTTAAACACATTATTACATTTTGTGAAATAACATTCTTTGATTTTGTTTAACCTTAATAAACTTAAATGCACTATTCTGTAATATAATTTTGGACTATTTACCATCATACAAAATATGTAATTTTTATGGTGCAAAGATTGCAAAAAATACATATTGTTTTTTACATTGTAACACATATGTTAACACTTTTTCGAAAGAATCTTAAATATATAGTAATAGTAATGTTTTGAAATACTATTTTATACTAACAATATTAAATTGTGATATACAAACAATACAATGGAGAATTGGACACATGTACAATTTTAAAATTTTTAATTTTTTAATTTCGAATTATTATTTTTTTGGTATTTTTTGAAATTTATTTTATCAATTTAAAGTCAATAAGGGTAAATTTGCTCTTTTATAAAAATATGAGGGGTATTTTTGCATCTTTTAAAAGTCCAAGAGTATATATGCACTTCTACATATACTTCAGGAGTATATTTGTTCTGAAAAAAAGAACAAGAACATATTTGCTCTCAAATTCATACTACACGGGTATATTTGTACATTGTCCCTTCTTTTTTACTACTCTGCAATTTTCTTTTCATAGTAATAAGAATCGCATGGATTATAAGCCTCAACCAATTTCTTTTATTCTATCAATGGACAAGTCCAGACAAGGATTAATTAATTTATGACAGATATTACATTCATTTTATGTCTTAGCTTGAGATGATATAACCAAAGAATAACCAAGAAGTCAAGGAGCTTCCCTTCACCATCAAGGGATTCAAAATTTCAAGGCATGAATGTCTAAATTTTCATACCTTCGTCGCAAAGTGTACTAGAAATAAAAATCCAAACGACCAAAAGTAACAAAATATTTTAGCACAATCCTTCGAAATTACGCTATCAACTTAATGATTCACAAGTTGAAAAAATTTAGGGATATAATGATATATGACTTCTTTTCGAACCGAAATGCTCCTGTACTAGTGATGGACCGGTTCCGGCCCGACCGGCCCGACACTGTTTGGAACCGGCCCAGCCCGGTGGCCCGGTCAGAGACCAATCCGGGTAGACCCGACCCGGGGGTTACATTAGGGCAGGCTCGGGTCATCCAAAATAGGAACCGGCCCGGTTCAAGTTTTTTTTTTTTAATTTTTTTTCTGGGTTGGGCTGGGTGTTTTGAGGGGGTTTGGGGGGGTGAGGGGGGGGGGGTCGGGGGTTAATTAGAAAAGCAAAAAAAAAAAATTTACAACCGGCCCGAGGCCTGGCCCAAACCGGCCGGGACACAGTGGATAACCGGGCCGGTTCCGGGCCTCACCATTCCCCAAAAAAGCCCAGTCAGGCCCGACCCGAGGCCCGGCCCGGACCGGCCGGGACACAGTGGATAACCAGGCCGGTTCCGGGCCTCACCATTCCCCAAAAAAGCCCGGTCAGGCCCGACCAGAGGCCCGGACTGGGCCCGGTCCATGCATATCCTGTACTGGTACACTACTATGTGAGATTTTCCCCATAATACACTTCTTTTACGGCTATAAAATGATCCTGCTAGAGTACTACGTAATAAAATTTATTTTTTACTTCATAACACATTTTTCTTGGGAAGAACACAAATAACATTAGTACTTGCATATACATCAAATTTATACTACTTTTTTTTGTTGAATCACAAAACAAAAATGTGAATATGAGAAGTCTGGCACACAGATTTAGAGATTAGAATGGAGTTAATTTGAGCGGGGGAGTGGAGAACTATCTGATGTTCAGAGTCAATGTTCTATTTATGGATTATGTATCATCTATTATTCACAGGTTACGATTTCTTTATAAAGTTAATAGCACCAAAGGACCATCCCATAATAAAATAGTACAAAAGGATAGTATTCTTATTCGATTTTCGGAACAGCCCCAATTCTTTCAATTTCCAATGAACCAAAATCAAGGACTTCCGAAAATTTAAGGACCCCAATTCAAGTTCTTAAAAAACGTCATGTGATAATGTCCGTTTCAGGATTCCCATGCTCAAACTTAACAAACACGCCTTCATAATTGAGACTGAAGGGATTTAGGTACCAATTGGTCCATTTTATGTGTATTACCCATGCAAGGTCATATCATAATGGAACATAGCTGCTTGAATACATATCCGAGACGTCCCTAAATTTGTCCATGGTTGAGGAAAACAAATTTTTCATGCATGCAATATTATCTTAAGCAGAAAATCAGAATACTTGATCATTTCACCACTATGAACTCTCAATTTAGTACCATCAGATGCACCTCAAAGGGAAATACTTTTGAACAAGTGCCTAAAAAAAGAAATGATCAACTGCTTGTGCACACTAAGACATACAACAGTACAGAAGAAAGGAAGAACATCAAATGTTTTCAGAAGGAAACTGATGTATCGAGCAAGTGCCTTATTGCAGCAATAACATCACCTTTATGCTCTCTTAAGGTCCGTTCAGCAAACTTCTTGTCAACCTATGACATCACAATTCAAACGGGCATTTATATTCCGTCATAGACAGATAGGCATTGCCTAAAGAGTAAAGAATAGACACATACAAACAGACAAACCTCGAGTTCATTGGCGATGATATCGATATGGGCAGCATCTATCTTAACAGCAGCTAATTCCTTCTCCCTGGATTGGAATCACTTGCACATGTCACATCCTTCTTACTAAAATCAGGGGCATTATAAACTTTATCCACTAAAAAGAATACCATCTGACTAGAGTTAGTGCTTCTTCATTTTTATATAAATTATTTACTTCTCTGTCCCAGGAAAAATCTCGTTTGACATGGCATGCTTATTCAGAAATTGTAATTAAGTGACTGCGATGTGTGCAGTTCACATAATTTTTCCTTAAAAGAAAAGATGAGCCTTATTCAAGGACAGAAAAAAAAGAAGGAAAAAGAGGCACCAGTCTGCGAGACCGGAGGAGTATATTTTTAAGTAAACCGCAGATCAACCTGATTTTTAACAGCTCTCTCAATGAAATATACTGTTCATTGGATGGGTTAGACAGCTTCCACTGCATATTTATTTTTTCCGCTCAACACCAGTTGGGTAAACTAATAAACAATTCATTTGTCACTAATGTTCTAATTTTATACATTGTATCAATGTTGTTATGTTCGTGTGCTAGACCGTAAGACCACATGATCTTACAGTTGGAGAAGGCAAGCGATCTAGACCACTATGCTGGCAGCGGCGATGGCAGTGCCGGATTGTTAGATCACTGCACCGAGATTCAATCTACGAAATGCAAATCAGATGAACTGGATCTAAATGGGTAAGGTCAAACCTTCAAACTGCATACCTTTCATACTTGTCACGGCGGTAAGGCAAGTCGCGGCACCAACCGACCGCCATATCGCCTAGGCGCCCGCCTAGGTGACAATTAGGCAACTAATCGCACATTGTGTAATATATTATACTACGTATATCATATATATATAACATTCTAATTAGCTGTATTAATTTGTAATTTATTACTCCCTCCGCATTTAAAAGATCACTATATTAGGTATTGGCACAATATTTAAGGGGGAATATTAGGGGTAATGAATAGTGTAGAAAAAGTGGGGAAAAAGGTGAAAAGGTAGGAAAGAGAAGATAAAAAGTAGCAAAAGTAAGGGTAATTGAGTATTTTTAAAAGAAAAACTTACCGAAAAGGGAAAGTATAGCAAACTTTTAAATACATCCCAAATAGGAAAGTGTAGCAAACTTTAAAATACGGAGGGAGTATATAATATATACTACATAATATCCTCCGTTTCTTTTTAATCGCAACATGTTGAATTTTACACTATTCACATGTTCTACTTTGACTATATTTTACGTTATTATTTTATGAAAATTATTTTTTTTTAAAAATATTGTTCAATTCATTTCATTACAAATTTTCAAAATATGACTTTTAATTATTTTTTATTAGTAGAGATTAAGATATAATTACGGTCAAAGACGTGCGTTGACAAGTGTGAAATTTTGACCGTTGCAACTAAAAAAGAACGGAGGAAGTATGATATATCACTAATTAAATTATGTATTACCTAGAATTGATACTAACAATTTATAAATGAAAATAAGGTTTATGTATGTGTGTGTATACAAAAATCAATTGACTATGTGTACTGCTTAATTAATTAAACTACTTTAGTGGGTATACTGCTTATTGCGTAATTGCATAGGAGTATAAAACATGAGGATTAATATACTGGAATTAGAAGTCTGATAGAGAGAGAATTAGTGAATAACCGATTAGAATAAAAAGCTGGAGAAGACATGCAGGTCGTCTTCAACCTTGCAACGCAGAAACGCA